CTTTGATAAGGCGTTTTCACAGGTAGAAGAAGAATGTAGATAGATCTGGCCTATTATTCATATAGTCTAGTATCCCGTGTCCCACACTGACTATTTAGTTACTGATGGGCAGCTCACAAGCAGGGCACGTAGGTCACACATACACACACCCATGACTGCTCATCAGTATGTGTTCTTCAGAAATATGCTCCCTCTGAACATGGAACTTCCATCAAGCCATGAGTGCTAGAAGGTGGCACTGTGGTCTAAACCACTGAGCCTCTTGGGCTTGCTGATGAGAAGGTCGGCTGTTCAAATCTCCAAGAGAGGGTGAGCTCCTGTTGTTCTGTCCCAGTTCCTGCCAACCTAGCAGTTCGAAAGCACACCAGTGCAAGTGGATAAATAGGTACTGCTGCGGCAGGGAGGTAAACAGCATTTCTGTGCACTCTGGTTTCTGTCATGGTGTTCCATTGCGCCAGAAGCGGTTTAGTCATGCTGGCCACATGACCCAGAAAGCGGTCTGTGGACAAACGCCAGCTCCCTCGGCCTCAAAGCGACATGAGCTCCGCAACCCCATAGTCATCTTTGACTGGACTTAACCGTCCGGTGGTCCTTTACCTTTACCTATCTTCCATGAACTTGAATAACTCTCTAAGCCATTTTGTGGCAATTATGTTAATTTTGGTTTATATTTCTGTCTCCCCTTTTCCCAATCAATTTTACTGGGTGATCACAGATTCTAGTATTGTGTGTGATGGCAGCAGGGGATACTCTTCCACACAAAAAATTATGGGCTGTATGGTGATAATTCTGCTGCAGAATATCAGTGTCCATGTGGGTCTGAGGAAGTGGGGGAATGTATTCAAATATGTTTCCCCAGTGCAATTCTACAGTGGTTTGCATAAAGAGCTTATTTACCTACTGTCTGAATCTTACACAGGAATGTATTTGGGGTTTTATGGCAGTTATCTGTTGGAAGATGCCAGACCTTGTTCTACAAAACAAGCAAACAAAAAAACAGCTAGATGTTTGGCTACTGCTATTAAAATGTGAAACATGCTGACAACAGAATATGTAAAATTATTCTGAGTCAATAACAAATTACTAGAAGCATGTATGTTACTTTGGTTAACACTGTGGACTTTTGCAATCGGTTTGTAGACAGTTTAGAGACAATGCAAAATTCAATAAACATATTACCATGCCTTCCTGATCATGTTTTCCTTTCTAGACTAAAAAGTCACAAATACTTCAGCTGGCAAGAATTTAAAAGTGATGCAATTGTTGGGCTGCTGGAAATAGCATTTGAGATACACTAATATTTCCAAACTGTTAACTGTGTTATACCATGCATCTGCTGGTATTACATGTTGCATGTATTCTCCGTTATAATTAAAATTAAAAAACCATGTTGCAGTGGATAAAACCGGTGATTATCTAGATTCTGTGCTTATCTGTCTTTTTATTAGAGTCATTTCTACACCTGATGTAGGATCTAAAACATTTTCATGTTTTCTTGGGGAAGATATATTGGTATTACGTTAAATTGACAGTGGAATAATGTCAGATGGGTTCATCTGCAGCAAGAACACTGAAAGACTGTCCTCTTACAGTACAGGAGGGCATGCTGACCTCCGATAAGCAATTCAAGATTTAGGGCACCATCCTGCCAGAGAGCCAAGTGCAAAATGGTTTGAAGCATACCTTTATGGTGCTCCACCTATTGGCAGGGCGCCACCATACAAGGTGCCCATTGCTATCCTAAATGTCCTTTGACACAACTAGGCAATTTGAGATGTGAAAAGTCCTTCACACCTTCCCTATGCACATCCAGCAATTCATTCTTCCTCACTATCTCTGCACGCACACGCGCACACACACCACATTATTTATTTTTTCTGAGAACAACAGTAGTGGAACACTTGGCATGTTGCACAGTTTTAATAACTTATCTCCTCATCCTGGTCTCTACACACACAGGATTGTGGCTCATGTATTGGCCTGCCAAGCCCTACCTAAAATCATTGGTATAATCATGGTATTTGCTAGTCAGATGGCTATCACTGAGATTTCTTTAATACCTTTCTGATTTCATTTAAAGCCTGGAAACCTATTCATATTGTGTTATCTCTCTCTCTCTCTCTCTCTCTCTCTGTGTGTGTGTGTGTGTGTGTAAAGATATATGGATAACAACTGCAAAGTTTTCAAAACAGACCACATTTTGCATTGTCCTTTTAGATGCTTAAGAGGCTCTGTGTGCCCTGTGCTATTTCGAAAGGCAGATCACATCATTGAGGACAAAAAGCCACGCTTTGCACAAAAGGGTTAGGAAGACGAGAGTGGATTCTGTGACTTGGCAGGTCATTCCCACTGCACCCTGTTCTTTCTGATAAGGACGCTTTTTACAGTGGCTGAGACTGCTGTTGACACACCTCTGTGCTTGCTGCAGAAGAAGTGGGCTTTTGGAAAGGAATGATAAGGAACACAAAGAACAACTAACAAAGCTCTTATGATGAATGTAGTCATTTGCATTGCAGTGCAAAGTAGCTTTGCTCCCAGTGGCAAAATGTAGTATTAACTACAAATATTAGAGATATAATTGCAATGACACCTAACAGTATACATAGGATTTTATTTGTTGTCATGTTTGAAATGTACATGGGGGGGACAAAACGAAACAGAAGGGTGATATTTAAAGAAATAATTTTATTTGTTAGATATTTCCCCCTGAACTCAGTGAGATATCACTTGTTTTGTGAACAAATGTTCTTCATTTTGCAAAACCCACAGACCCTGAAACCTGTAACAAAGCTGACTGACACACATACTATGTAATATTTTTAATTGGGGATTTATAATGTCATTCATGAAGACAGAAGTGCCTGGCGTGCTCTGGTCCATGGGGTCACGAAGAGTCGGACACGACTAAATGACTAAACAACAATGTCATTCATACAAATGCAAAATATATCAGTTCTCAGCCAATCATAAGCCACTTTCAAACTAAGAAACATAGAAGTCTACCATTATACAGGGGTATTACACTGAACATAATTCCTGGACATTTTATTAGCATTTTTATTCTTTTAGTTCTGTTGTGATTCTTGTAAATAAGTGACTTCTGTACTGTGCTGTGTTATTAACTGCATAAACCTATGAAACCTTAAACCATGAAGTTAATTTCCTCACTTTTAATGAAACAGATGGATTACACAGCTAGAGCATACTTTGGTCTAGGTCTAATCCAACTCTGGTGTGCTCCACACACCATGAATATAAAAACTCCTTACCCAGAGACACCTGCAGGCTGCAGTTTCAACAAAGTTATGATCTACTACCAGATCTGTGATCTGTTTCATGTATTCTTAGAATTAAAAAAAGCACACGGAAAACTGGTCATTGATTATCTATGCATGTGATAGTTGCATAAATTTACAATATATTATCCTGAAAACTAAGGAGACAAATAGGGAAGAAACAAACATACTGTATTTTTCGCTCTATAAGATGCACCAGACCACAAGACGCACCTAGTTTTTGGAGGAGGAAAACAAGAAAAAAAATATTCTGAATCTCAGAAGCCAAAACAGCAAGAGGGATTGCTGCGCAGTGAAAGCAGCAATCCCTCTTGCTGTTCTGGCTTCTGTGCTAGCTGCGCAGCCTGCATTCACTCCATAAGACGCACACACATTTCCCCTTACTTTTTAGGAGGGAAAAAGTGAGTCTTATAGAGCAAAAAATACGGTATTTAATTTATAAGCTCCCTACACAGCTAGCCTCAACATTAATTTTATCTCCAGTGCTGGAGGAACAGAGGGGAGACAGAGATCCAAGTGGAGAGACCAGAAGTGAGCATGGGGAAGGAGAGCCCGGGACAGCCATACAGTGGTACCTCAGGTTACATACACTTCAGGTTACATATGCTTCAGGTTAAAGACTCCGCTAACCCAGAAATAGTGCTTTAGGTTAAGAACTTTGCTTCAGGATGAGAACAGAAATCGGGCTCCCGCAGTACGGCAGCAGCAGGAGGCCCCATTAGCTAAAGTGGTGCTTCAGGTTAAGAACAGTTTCAGGTTAAGAACGGACCTCTGGAACGAATTATGTACTTAACCTGAGGTACCACTGTACTTCTCTTAGAAGGAGAATAATATTGCAGCTGATTCCAACCACCACTATTCTATCAGAATGGGTCCTCAGATAGTTGCATACTTAGGAAGAAGAAGGAATCTACACTGAGTCCCTGGAAAGAGAATGAAGAAGTTACCAAAATTAAAACCTTTTAAAACCCAGTCTTTCGTTCTGAGTCTTCCACTCATGGACAAAGCCTGGGGTAAAGTAGCAACTTTTGCTTTCTGGCTACATATCCCTGAACCATTTCACAAATCAGGAGAGGATCTCCACGGACCGCTTTCGGCAGTAACAACGGCTAGCTAGTGTGCATGTAGAATACTGTTCCAGTTCATATGGATCCAAACTTCTGTGTATAACAACTGAGCGCTCTGTTCAAATGCTGCATTCAGGTGTGGTGGTCTGATAACACTAAGCTTGCATCTGAGGTTATATCTCCACACATTAATGCCAGTACCAGTAGGTTCTCCTCTCACTCACATTTTGTGTGTGAATTTCCCTTTAGAGTTTGGTATAACCCTGACAAAGGAAAATAGGTTACAGCCTTCTTTATCTAGGAGCATAGGGTTAGAAAATTGCAGAGAGCACTTTTTATCTCTCAGTTGTATGTGATAAATGGGAGTTGTTTCTCTTAACCAGTTTAGTTTGATTGCAAAACCCTTTTTTCCAGTGGTGCTCTTGCTGAAATATCTCTCAGGATTTTGTACAGCATGTGGAAACGTAGCTATAGCACAAATGACCACCTGCTGTTCCACTCTCATTGACAAGCTTAGGAATAGAGTGAGCTGCAATTTACAGATGTGATGCCGCATATATTTTGAAGTAAATTTCACTCTGGAGTGCTGCTGAAAAAATTATGTCATGGCTTCAGGGTATTTACTGCAACCGCCATACATATATACTGTGTGTGTGTGTGTGTGTGTGTACACACATATACGTACACCAGACACACACACACACACATTAATATATAAGTACGTGGTCATAATCACATATGCATTTTCTGATACCATCTATTGATGTAAAGCATTCCAAAGGAGTAAGGACCCCAATGTGGCAATGTAACTGCATTAAAGCAAATTTAAGGGGAGGGGAAATACCTTGATATATTATGTTTTAGATGTAGATGGCAAACTGCTGCTGGAACAATCGTTAAATTTTGAATGAAAGGGGATAAATAAGGGTGCAAGGTAGTTCCTCAAACTTTGCAATTATAATAATGAAAAAGACTCATAAAGCATAAGTTTAAGAGTAGTTTTCTTTGGTATGAAATTAAGTTATCTCCTTTTCATCTTTAGCAGGTTTCCTGCTCTCTTACCATTCTTCCCAGGCTGCACTCTTCACATTTCATTGCTCTCTCTGCCTCTTTTATTTTTCCTTTACTCATTGTCTTGGTAGAAGCTGTTGTCTGCATGCTTCTGTTCTCACATGAGATTCCTCCACCTGAAAGTGAAGGCTTGGACTTTTTCCTTTCCTAAATCAAAACCTGTGCAATGTAATTTGAAATTTGTCCAACATGTCCAACCTATACATTCCCCAGTGAATTAGATGTGGTGTTTCAAAAAGTGTTCTGGATAAAAGAGTAGAAACAGCTCACAATATTTTATATTTGCCAAGAAGAAATTAGAAAGATGTCTAATGGAGTAAGCATACTGATGCTAATTCAGTGTGTTGAAAAATATAGATAGTGCATTTCAGTAATAAAGTTCAGAAGTCACTATGGCATGTGGAATGGAAGCAGCGTCTCTGATTTCTAGGAAGAGGCCACAGCTGGCAAATCAGCTAAAGAGGTATATCAACATACTAAGGCAACATGAGCATCTAGGCATAATGATGGGTTAAGGGGCATTTGTAGACTTTGTACCTGATACTTCTTCATTGAATTCTTTAAAAATCACCAACAAGCGCAATATTATTTGCTTATGTAAAATTTATACATTGCTTGTTTGTTAAAGCAATGCCCTCAAAGCAATTTACAAAATGATTAAAACGCCAAGAAAAAGTTACAGCCACCCTCAAAATATTACAAAAGTTAGAATACTAAAACAGATTAAAACAACCTAACTTTCTAAGCATCTAGGGAAACTTGCCTAAACAAGATTGTTTTTAGCAGTATTTTAGCAACATGTACAATGGGGAAAGAATGGAAAGCCAAAGCTTTCTTTCTTTCTTTCTTTCTTTCTTTCTTTCTTTCTTTCTTTCTTTCTACCAACCTAGGAAAGGTGTCATTAATCAGAGGTGGCAGGAATTAGGATGCTTGCATCAATTCTCTTTTATATTTACTGTTGCATTACACAGAAACATGGCAGGCTGCCTTTTAACCGACTCAGACCATTGGTCCATTTGGCACAGTGTATTGTCTACACTGACTGGTAACCTCTCTCCCGGGTTTTATTCCCAGCCCTACCTGAAAACACCAGGAATTGAACTGGAGACCTTGTGCATGCAAGGCAGATACTCGTACCGCTGAGCTATGGTAGATTACATCGTTAAAATAATCATAATCAACCATAGTCGTAGAGGAAATAAAAGGAAGATATACCACCAGGAAGAGAGAGAAAATGTGCTAGTGAAGAAAAGTAACAAGCTAATGAACAGCACATGAGGCAGATTCAGTGTGCATGGCTGTGTCATATAATGGCACCTTTCAGAATCCACCTAAGCATATGTTGTTTCAGGATGACTAAGAGAGTGAGAAGCTATGAAATAAGAACCCTTGTTAAGCCAGCTAGTTCTGAAATACTGAAGCGTCATATGTTTTCCAGCTGGCACAGGTGTTTGGGGGTGGGGGGGATAAGATGTTCAGGCTGATGGCCACATGGCTATGTGTTCTGCGCCAATACCAAAGGAGACAAGAGTAGACTATGGCTGGCATCCAGAGTTGCTGTTCCACATGCCATGTAAGATCCATCCAGCATCTGTTTGCTTGTTTTTTTCCTTATGCAGAAGGCCAGCTATAGGGCTTTATAGATGCTGTTTCAGATGTTGAAGAAACTGAGAAAATACTAGGTTTAGTTTCAGGGAAAAGATAAGTCCATTAGAAATATGTGTTTGTTTCACCACTCTGATATAGCAAACATTGTATTAGCTATTTGGTAGAGTCCTATATCTACCAAATATCATTTAGCAAGGTGGTATGCTGTATTGATCACTTGTTTTCCCAAGGACCCGTAAGACTAATTTTTTTTCTTTATAAATTGGAAGCCACAGGGACTGCTGGAAACAATTCTATCCAGTGTGAACTCTGTGATAAGATTTGCTCATTACGAATTCTCAGGCCTTGTCTGGAAGGTTTTATCTTCCTTTTCATTTGAGTATTGAGGCATTTAGGCAGCTTCACATTAAAGCATTAATTGCTTTGCCTAAAGCAGGTTTAAATAACTTAAATTAGTATCGAGTGTCATGTCTAAACATGTATCACTCCAGTAACAAGAACAACTTGAGTTTCTGGAGCAATCTATTACTTTAAGCTGGTAGTTTCAATCTCAACTTCCTTCAGTTTGTTTCCCCCCCCCTGTTTTGCAACGATATTATAACTTTAATACAGCTGTTTTGGTACAATTGGTACAATTCTAGTTGTGTTTTTAAAATGTGCATTTTAAAGAAATTGCCCAATTTCTCCCTTTCCTTTATTTATTTTACAGGAAGTACAATATTTGCTTAAGTGTCCACATTGTCCTTATTACACAATCTTTATTCTTAATAACAGCAAAAATAACCCATTGTTTGCAGCATAGAACAGTGGTAGTGTGTGTTTTTATAGCATGCCTTATTCGTACCCTAACATGTTATTAAGCCCATCTGGATTTTTTGAGAGAACTGATAACCATACGGCCGTTGTACATTTTGTTTCTGTCATGCAGTGCTAGCTGTATTGGTAGAAAGAATGAGGTAATATTTCTGACCACCAAAAGAAAACAGATTGAATCAGCATTTTTAGCCATCATATTTTTAAAAAACTGGAAGGACCAAAAGGGAACAAGCTAGGACTAAGATGGCCAGTTTTAAAGGAGGGCATGTTCCTAGTCCTTTAGTAGATGTGTGAATGCTGCAGTTTCAGCAGGTGCAACATCTACAAATACATACAACCAGCAGTTGATTCAGTGCGGATAAGATATCTGTGTCTTACTGGGACTGCACAAATGTTCAGTCTCTTGGAGGGAAGCTCACCTCTGCTTTTCTGCTCCTCTTTTTAATTCCTGTGGCACACTAAGCTAAGCCCAAGGGTTGGCTTAGCATGTCATCTGAACCCGGGTTCACAGTTAAGCTGTCTCCTCACTAACCATGAGCTTCAGCCAAGAATCAGCTGTGCAAGCAAAGCATGGTACAGTAATGGCTCTTATCATTGGTTAACTTCTTAACAATATATATTTAATCGATTTTCCAGATCTTCTGTACTTCTAATGAACACATGCCTTTTACCTCTGTGTCCTCAATTAGTGCATGTTTGTCTAGATTGCCTGATTTGTAGGCAGTAATTGGTAAATGGCAGTGCGTTCTTTGCACAGTTAAATGATAGGGTAGCGAAATGTAGCTTTACACGCTGTGTATGCAGCAAAGGCTTTAAAAAATGAGAACATTAGGAAGACCATGGGGAAAATGTGAAATAAAAAGGTATCTAGATGGCCATCTATATTGTCAAGAAAGGAAATGGGCCATATAAAAGTTGTGTATGTTCATTTATATGCATATATGTGCAAATATCAAAATAAGTACTATAATCGAAGTACTTACAGGTAGGTAGCCATGTTGGTCTGCCGCAGTCGAACCAAAATAAAAAAATTCCTTCCAGTAGCACCTTAGAGACCAACTGGGTTTGTTATTGGTATGAGATTTTGTGTGCATGCACACTTCTTCATAATTGAAGTAGTAATTACACCATAGTGGGGAAGACTATGACCTGTGTGTCTAATTAGTTTGTGCTGATATTCCTGGGGTTGTACTAGATTCTATAGGGTTGGACTCTACAATTTTATGATTCTATGCTGCCCAAATGCTGACTGATTCATGGTTGCCTTTCCCCTTATTATGATTCTTGATCTTTACAACTTTACAAGGCAGTCCTTCAAGTAGAGGACTGACCTTTGTCAAAGCAGGACATATAGCTGCCCTATACTCTAAGGCCTCATTGTTTCCTTATCTTTTAAATTTTAGACATTTTTAATGCAACAAAGCCAGCACCTTGAACCTAGCCAAGTGGTTAATTGGCAGCCAGTGCAATTCTTCCAGCAGTGGTGCAACATGGTGATATCATGCCTCGGTGAGCAATCAAGCCACACTGCACCAGCTGCAACTTCTGGACCAACCTCACATGGAGCACATTGTCATAATCCAGCCTGGAGGTTACCAGCACATCGTTGACCATAGTCTGGCTATCCCGGTCCAGAAACAGCTATAGTGGACTTACCAGCCAAAACTGGTAAAAAGCTGCTGAGGGCTTAGCTGCTGAGGTCACCTGGGCCTCTAGAGTCAAAGATCAATCCAGGACAGCTGTATCTGACCATGAGTCTGCTAACCCAGAGCCGCTCTTTGTGAATAACTGTCATATAAGGAGCTGCTGAAAAAGGAAAGTACACTGAAAAGCAAAAGCACCACCATTACTTGTTTAGCAGCACAAAACAACTTCTGCTAATCCACTGTAAGATATGTTACTGATTTCGTTTTGAAAGAGGCACAGGATATTGAGGTCAGAATACTATCCAGATCTGTGAACTGAAAGTTTTCATAGTTTGCTGCTTATTTCTCTCTCTTTTCTCTAATGATCATGGTGCATTATAGTCATTATAATTATGTGAAATGATGCTTTTATTTATTACATTTATATGTCGCCCTTCATCCAAGGATCACAAGACTGTTTGCTTGTGCTGACTCCTTATAGAATAACTAGCTCAGTTGTTAGAGCACAAGACATCAGTTGTTAGAGTATGAGTCTCAGGGTGATGGGTTCAAGCACCACATTGTATGAAAGATTCCTGTATTGCAGGATTAGATTACCCCTGTGGTCCTTTCCAAGTGTACAATTCTATGATTCTAGTTCCTCAGCCATATGAAGAGTTGGGTGAAAAGCAGATGTTTGTGCCTTCTTTGTTACTAAGATTTAATTAAGGAATTTGTGTCAGATCTCCCTGGCAGAGGTTCTTGTGGTTGTCTGTTGTTGTTGCCTTTTGGTGCCATGTTGAGCGGCAAGAATGGCCCGTTACATGCCCTCCACATTTGAAAACCTAGGTCCAAATTTAATAACTCACAAAGCCTTGGAATTGAGGCAGAGCTTTCAGCTGCATGTAGCTCCTCTGATCGAGACAGGCTGCCTCCAGGAGGAAGGTGGTTTATGACAGTGGTGGATGGGAAGAAAATTGACAAGCAAGAGCACCTTAATGGCTTCAAACTACCTGTTAATGATTGTAGTGCTGGTGCCTGCCTGGCAGCCTCAGCCACCAATTAAGCATCTGCTGGAGCTGGAAGCTGGGCTCTTAATTGAACAAAAGCAGATTCAAAGCAGGTTGCATTTCCTGCCAAACCAGATTTATCAGTTAAACTGTGCCTTCGTCCATTGTTTTCTCTTCCCCCATGTGTTCCCCAACCCATGGAAGGAAAAAAGATAAACCTGCTAAGTACTGGAAATGTGCAGAATGGATGTAGCCTGGTAATAAACATTTTGTTCCCTGCGTAACCTTTTGCTGACCCTAAGACTAATGATGAATTCTTCTCTAAATTATCAACTTCTTCATCCCTGCATCCATCCATCCCTTTGCCACCATACTCACAAATTAAGATACATCGTCTAGTATACATTCATAGATCAATTTTCTGTTAACTTTTACATAGAACTGATTGTTTAATTGTAGATTAAAGATTAATGCAAGTGTAATGATTCCATGAGGACACTTCGTACAATAGCATCCTGCATCAGGCAACCTGCATCCATTTTTCAATTTGGCCATAAATTTGGCTGGGAATTAAATAGTAAATAGCCGTGATTGCAACACTGGCTTCTGAAGGCACTCACGGGAATGAAAATAAATGAACAGGCTCTCACATAAAGCATGTTTCATTATGGTTATTAGTGGGCAGGTCCGCACCAAGATTTGAAGGTGAAAATGTCTACAAGAAATGTTGGCACATGTTTATGGGAAAAAAAGAATGGAAAGAAATGACCAGGTTGCCAAGTGGCAAACTTATTTCCTTAATTTTGGTTTGGACATCAGTGACACAGTGATGCACTTGTCCTTAAATGAAAAAAGAAAAGAAAATAATCATTTCATTTTCAGTTACAATTTCTACAGTGGTTAACATGTGCAGGCTTTTAATAAATAAAGGGCTCCTTTCCACAGATTTACAATAAAAAATGGCCTCTTTTGTTCAGTAGCTCATATAGTGCAGTGAATATTTCAAATTCTGCAATAGTTATTCAAAGTCTAAAAGAAATATATATGAAAATACTAAAATTTTGTTTTCTATTATGTTTTTCAGGTAAGAACCCT